AGAAGGAAGGAAGGAAGAGAAGGAAAGGGAAGGAAGGAAGAAAAGGAAAGAGAAGGAAGGAAGGAAGAGAAGGAAAGAGAAGGAAGGAAGAGAAGGAAAGGGAAGGAGGGAAGAGAAGGAAAGGGAAGGAAGGAAGAAAAGGAAAGAGAAGGAAGAGAAGGAAAGAGAAGGAAGCCCCTGGAACACGTGATAGCATCTGCATTAAATGAAGGGGACGCAAGCACAGGATGACATACAGAAACACGGAGGCTCACCTCTGCTTAAAAGCCTTCTTGCCCATCTCTCTGGCGGCTTTCTTCACCTCTTCAGGTACGGCGTCTTTCTCAGCTTGAGATATCTGGTACACCTGGTGACCGGCATCCAGTCGGTAGGGACCCCCTTTGCCCCCCAAGCCTGCAGTGTCTCTCCCACCTGGAAAAGAACCCCAAAAAACGCTTTTTAACCTCTTCCTCGGGGCTGCGGGATTCCAAGTAACCGCCAGGTGGCAGCAAAGGGCAAACGTTTCCTGTATCTCTTGGGTGCCATCTAGTGGCCATTCAGATTTGCACAGCTCAGGTCCGAGAGCCTTCGCGCTTTCACAGCAAGGGAATATTCCTGCAGGCTTGATTCTCAAGAGACTTCGCAATACTCAGGGGTACTGTCAGAAGACAACATTTGCAGCTCAGGGTTGAATTGTGAGCTCCTTGGTGCCCTCTGAGCTTGGTGGTTTTCTTGCAGATGTTTCATTACCCAACTAGGGAACATCATCAGTGAAGCACCGATATTACCTAGTTGGACAAACCCCACTCCCTTCTAGCACCCATGACGTTACCTAGTTGGGTAATGAAAAGTCTGCAAGAAAACAAGCAAGCTCAGAGAGCACCCAGGACCTCACCTTCCTTCCTTCCCTCCTTCCTTCCCTCCTTCCTTCCCTCCATCCCTCCTTCCTTCCTTCCATCCTTCCCTCCTTCCTTCCCTCCTTCCTTCTTTCCTTCCTTTGTATCTCCCTTTTCTTTTTCTTTTTTCCTTCCTTCCTTCCTTTCCTTTTCCTTTTCTTCTTTTTATCTCTTTTTCTTTCCTTCCTTTCTCACTTTCCTTCTTTTTCTTCCTTTCTTCCTATCTCTTTCCTTCCTTCCTTCCTCCTTCCTTTGTATCTCCCTTTTCTTTTTTCCTTCCTTCCTTCCTTCCTTTCCTTTTCCTTTTATATTTTTATTTCCTTCCTTTCTTACTTTTCTTCTTTCTCTTCCTTTCTTCCTATCTCCTTCCTTCCTTCCTTCCCTCCTCCTCCTCTCCACAAACCCTCCTCTCTTCTAGCACCGATGATGTTACCTAGTTTTGTAATGAGAAGTCTGCAAGAAAAAAATGCAAGCTCAGAGAGCACCAAGGACCCCATCTTCCTTCCTTTCCTCCTCCTCCTCCTCCTCCTCCTCCTCCTCC